GTTTATTAGGCCCGTACACCAACAATCTAGCGACGCGCATGCTTGTGCTCTAGCGACGCGCATGTCTGTGCTCTAGCGAAGCGCATGTTTGTGATTTAGCGACGCGCATGCTTGTGCTCTAGCAAAGCGCATGCTTGTGCTCTAGCAAAATGAATGCTTGTGCTCTAGCAACGCGCATGCTTGTGCTCTAGCAACGAGCATGTTTGTGATCTAGCGACACGCGTGTTTGTGATCTTGCGACACGCATGCTTGTGCTCTAGTGACACGGATGCTTATGTTCTAGCAACGTGCATGCTTGTGCTCTAGCAATGCGCATGCTTGTGCTCTAGCGACGCGCATGCTTGTGCTCTAGCGACGCGCATGCTTGTGCTCTAGCGACGCGCATGCTTGTGCTCTAGCGACGCGCATGCTTGTGCTCTAGCGACGCGCATGCTTGTGCTCTAGCGACGCGCATGCTTGTGCTCTAGCGACGCGCATGCTTGTGCTCTAGCGACGCGCATGCTTGTGCTCTAGCGACGCGCATGCTTGTGCTCTAGCAACGCGCATGCTTGTGCTCTAGCGAAGCGCATGCTTATGCTGGAGCGACGCGCATGCTTGTGCTGTAGCAACGCGCATGCTTGTGCTGCAGCAACGTGCATGCTTGCGCTCTAGCAACGCGGACGCCTGTGCTCTAGCGACGTGCATGGTTGTGCTCTAGCAATGCGCATGCTTGTGATCTATCGACGCATATGCTTGTGCTCTAGCGACGCGCATGCTTTTGCTTTAGCGACGCGCATGCTTGTGCTCTACCAACCAGGGAGGATGCTTTTGCTCTAGCGAGCGCAAACCAACCAGCTCGTGGACGCTCGAGTGGGTGCGGACGAAGATTCTGGAGGAGGACTTTCGTCGCCGCCAACTGAGGGGTGGAGACGACGGCAGCAGCGGCTACGGGATGCAAGGGAACCGACGTGGCAGAGGACGTGGCTTCGGTGGTGCTGGGCGCGGTGCAAAGAAGGACGACGACTCCAACGACCAACAAGGAGGTACCGGTTGGGGTCGCGGTGCGAAATCTGGACGTGGGGGCAAGTCGGGTGCTGGTGGCAAAATGAAAGGGAGTTGCTGGTATTGTGAGAAGGAGGGGCACCCCTGGTTTTTGTGCTATAAGAAACCCGATGGATGGACCCCCCAGAATCGTCAACAGGATGGCGGCGCGCGAAGGAACCAGAAAAACGGCGCGAACATGGTCGCTGATTCGTCCGACAACAACCCGAAGAGCAACGGTGGTGCGGAGAAGAAGAAGGAGCGCACCGCGGGCCAGTTCTTCCATATTGGAGAGCAGGGGGAGCAAGGAGACGCCTCTGCCAAGGTTGGAGCAGAGCTGCACCCCCTGGACTATTGGGTGTTGGACACGGGCGCTGCTTGGACGATGACGCCGCGCAAAGACCTGCTGGACGACGTACGCGCTGCACCGATTAACGAAGTGTGCTCCGCCTCTGGACACTCGCTGAAGGTGGCTGGTGCGGGACGAGCTGCGTTTAAGGGAGCGGATGGCAAGCCGGTGGTGCTGCACGACGTTCTCCTCGTTCCCGACCTCAAGGCCAACCTCATCTCCCTCCGTAAGCTTGCCAAGGCTGGGATGAGCACATACAAGGGGCAGTTGGGCAATCGGGTGCTTTGGGATCTGCACGAGAGCAAGGACGTGTACAGATCCATGTGGCAGCTGCCGGCGTTGGCGTGGCACGGTGGGGGGCAGGCTAGAGAGGGGTCTGCATCCCAGGGGGAGTGCAACGCCGTTGGAGGGGTTGGCGTGAAAGTGTCGGCCAGATCTGGGGAGACGGATTGGGCAACGGCACACCGACGCTTGGGGCATGTGGCAATGCCCTTATTGAAGCAGCTGGAGAAGGATGGAGCCGTCAAGGGTTTGAAGCTGAATGGACAGCCACCCGATGACAATTGTGAAATCTGTTTGCTTTCAAAGTTCACCCGTTTCCCTTTCCATAGTGTGGCTGGCAGGAGCAAGAAGCCTTTGGAGCTGGTCCACATGGACTTGGTGGGGCTGCTGCCGGTGCAAGGGCACAAGGGGAAGTGGTATTTTCTTACAATTGTGGATGACTGGAGCAGGCTGATGTGGGCGTATCCGCTGAAGCAGAAGGACCACGCCGCCTCCACGATACGGGACGATTGGCTGCCATTCGTGGAGAAGCAGGCGGAGTGTGTAGTGAAGCGGATTAGGACAGACCGGGGTGGTGAGTTCCTTGGAGCTGAAATGACGGCCTGGCTCAAGAAGCAGGGCATCCAGAGAGAGCTGACCACGGCTTATACCCCACAGTCGAACGGCGTAGCAGAACGGGCGAACCGGACAATTCTGGAGACAGCTAGGGCGCTGCTCATAGAATCTGGGCTGAGCAATTCTATGTGGCCTCATGCTGTCCGGCACGCCACCGTCGCTAGGAACAGGGTGCTCACCAAGGTTGGGGATGACTCGTGGGTGCCTTTGGAGAGGTGGCTTGGGAGGAAGCCGCCGGTGGACATGCTGAGGGTGTTTGGTTGCATGGCAGTCGCCCACGTCCCCAAGACCTACCGCAGTAAGTTGGGGGCAAGTGCAATCTGGTGTGTGCATTTGGGGCTGGCTGCTGAGAGCAAGGGATGGCTGCTGTGGGAACCATCCAAGGGTGTGTTGTTTGACAGCAGGGATGTGAAATTCATTGAGGGCATGATGTATGGGAGCTGGGAGAAACAGCCGGAGGCCCGGGTGTCCCAGCAGATGGAGCAGATCACCATGCAGCTGGACCTGACTCCTAGTGTGTGGGAGGAGGGAGAGGAGGCAGCTGCGGGGAATGGTGATGGAGAGAAGGTACAGGAGGCACCTGCTGGTGGAGAAAATGGTGTGGAAACTGGCGGCAGCACTAGTGAAGCTGCTGGATCCAAGGGAGGAGAGCAGCAGCAGGGGAAAACTAAGAAGCCGAAGGGTGTCGTTATGAAGGGATGGGAGACACCCGTCTCCAGGCCAGGACGCACCCGTATGGCTACTAAGAAGCTGACTGCAGGATCAGGTGTAGCAGAGCAGCAGCTTGGGACCGAGGAGGCAATGCTGATTCTACCTCATGGCTATGACCCGGATGAGGAGGACGAGCCTGCGTACTGTTTTCTTGCCCCTGCACCAGAGGAACCAGCTAGCATGGAGGAGGCATTAGCTGGACCAGATATGGACAAGTGGCTGGCTTCTAGGGATGCTGAGTACCAGAGCCTGCTGGAGAATGGGACATGGGATCTGGTGGTGCTGCCTGATGGGAAGAAAGCGATACAATGCAAGTGGGTGCTGAGGATCAAGACTGATGACAAGGGGCAGGTCACCATCTACAAGAGTAGGCTGGTGGCGAAGGGGTTTATGTAGAAGGAGAAGCAGGACTTCAACGAGATCTTTGCTCCCACTGCCAAACCCCCTACCCTCCGTGTCTTGTTGGCAGATGCAGCAGTTAGTGGAAAATTCATCATTCAGATGGATATTTCAACGGCATTCCTGAATGGGATTTTAGAGGAGGATGTGTACATGACGCAGCCGCCTGGGTATGAGGATGGTACGGGCAGGGTGTGCAAGCTCAACAAGTCCATCTACGGCTTGAAGCAGGCGCCACGCTGCTGGTACCAGAAGTTGGCAGCTGTTTTAGAGGAGATGGGATTCAGGACCAGCAGCTGTGATGAGAGCCTCTTTCTCAAGGGCGAGGGGGAGAAGCTGGTGCTGTTTCTGGTCTATGTGGACGACATTCTTCTCTTCAGCAGCAGCATGAAGGAGATCCAGAAAGTGCAGCAGCAACTGATGGAAAACTTCAAGTGCAAGAACCTTGGGGAGGTAAAGTACTACCTCGGGATGCACGTGGAGAGGGATCCAGATCACAGGTGGTTGAAGCTGCACCAGGAGAAGTTCATCAAGGAGCTGGGGGAGAAGTATGGGATTGAGAATGAGCGCAAGGTTGCAACTCCCCTGCCAGCAGAATTCAAGCTTGTGAAGGCTGCAGAGGATGAAGGGGTTGAAGCCGAGGAGCAGCAGCAATTTCAGTCCTTGGTGGGCAGCCTCTTGTACGCAGCAGTTCACACGAGGCCCGATATCTCTTTCTCGGTTGGGCAGCTGGCTAGGGTGGTGCAGAATCCATCAGAGGAGCAGGTGGATGCAGCTGAGCGTGTGGTGAAGTACCTGAACTCTCACCCAAGCATTGGAGTTCAATACTCCGCATCTGCACAGGTGAAGCAGAAAGGGGTGGAGGTGCTGAAAGAGAAGGGAGAGAGGCTTGGAGAAGGCAAGCTATTTCTCACTTGCTTTACCGATGCTACGTGGGCTTCTGAGAAGGAGGATTCCTCATCTGTGGGAGGATACATCTGCGTAGTTGGGGGAGGACCTGTTAGTTGGAGGTCCAAGAAGCAGACGGAGACGGCACTCTCTTCCGTAGAATCAGAGTACATGGCGATGTTCCATGGGGTGAAGGAGGTGATTTGGCTGAGGAGGCTGTTAGAGGAGATTGGCCAGGAGCAGAAAGTTGCTACGCCGCTGTTTTGTGATAGCAAGGGGGCTCTTGGGATGGCCAGGAACGCTGTGCTTCATGCGTATCAAGTGGCACTGGCTGCGTAAGGAGGTGAAGAGGGGGACGGTGAATCCGATCTACATCAAGACTCACCAGCAGCCAGCAGACTTTCTCACCAAGAGGCTTGCGGATGAGCCTCATTGGCGTTGTGTGCGCATGAGTGGAATGAGCATGAACTAGCATGGAATGACGGGGATGCAGCCGGCAGGCTGAGGGGGAGTGTGTTGGGTGCAAATGCACATTGTACGACATCCTGCCGTCTGTTTGTACGAGTATGCGTGTGCGAATGCATTTGCGTGTGAATGGTGTGTTCGTGTATTTGTTTGCTTTCGCAATTTTCGCTTGATGCATTTGCAGGTACTCGCGCAATGTGCGCTTCGGCACAACATTGTACGCGCTATGAACAGTGCAAGCAGAAAGGACGAGCTCGCAAAGGAACCCAAGATGGAAGCTTTGCAGTTCGGTTGAGTTGATTGCGCAGATTCAGTTCTATCCAACTCGAAATTGTACTGTTTTGTTTGGTTAACTATAGTGTAGCAGGGAAGGCACTATAGGGGTACAATTTAGGTGAAGGTTGGATGTTGTTTGTCTGTATCTGCATGCTACAAGGCCAGGGGAAACCAGCGGAACCAGCATTTGGCTGGTTGGGCAAAGACAAAACAGGTTCTGTTTTTAGAACCTGAACCTGGTTGTTGTTTTCCCAGGTTGGAAAAACAGAACCAGAGGTTGTTTACCAACCTACCACCTGCTATTTTGTCCAGCCAGGTTGGTTCTGTTTCTTGGAATTATTTGGGATCATCCCTGGTTGTTCCCAGGTTGATTCCCAAGGTCCTTGCTAGCTAGAACTATTTAGTCCTTCTCTGTTTGTACCTGGATATAGTCAATTGATTCAAGCAAATTCCTTCCTCGCTGGAGTTTCGTTTCTGCGCTATTCGACGGCGGAATGCTACCCGAGTCAACGCTAGTATGCTAGCACTCCAACGCTAGGCAAACGCTGTCCGAGCCATAACTTAGTAATGGCAGAACTTTTCGCGAGGCAACTTGGCTCATTTTAAAGCTCTTGGAGCGAGCTTCGATATAGCGAATTCTCAGCTTAATCCGATCGACGGTCTGCACGGCACGCTGCGCGACGTTCAAGGTACTCTTGCTGTTTTGACTAAGTCCTCCTTGATCCCTCTCTCTACAAACTCGGACCCGAGGATAGGGGCTGGTCTTGTACCAGGCACCCAGGGACCCTTGGAGGTGACCCCGAGGAGAGGTTTTAAGTTTGATTAAGTCCTAATAGCTTGAGTTTATTAGGCCCTTACACCAACAATTTTAGCCAGCACAAGACTGCTAAGGCACTGTATGACGCTGTAGTTGCGCGCTATTCGTCCCCAGCCACTGCAGCCGTAGGTCGTCTCATCCTGCCCTACCTGTTCCCAGACCTGTCCTCGTTTGCCACCGCTGAGGACCTTATCTCTCACCTCCGCGCTAGTGACGCTCGCTTTCGTGCCGCCCTTACAGACGACTTCCTCGCCCAGAACCCCTCCCCCGTTGTACTTTACCCTCTACATTCTCATCACCCGCCTCCCTGACACTCTCAGTTCAGTCAGGGACCACTTCCTCGCCAAAGACCCTACCACTCTCACTCTAGCCGACTTCGAGCAGCAGCTCGTAGCAGCAGAAAAGAATATCCTTGCTGTATGTGCTGCTCGTGGCACTCCTCGCACTCCCCTCTTTGAGGGGTGCTCCCCCTCCCCTCTTGCCCCCTCCTACGCCTCTGCTGCTGCTGCCGTCGACCTCCTCGGTGCTGAGAAGGTCGCAGCTGCTTCCGCTCCTAGTGGGAAGCGCAGCGGCACCAGGGGCGGCAAGAGTGGCAAGGGTGGTGGAGGTGGCGGTGGAGGGAGCGGTGGTGGAGGCGGCGGAGGTGGTGGAGGTGGTGGGGGTGGTCGTGGGGGTGGAGGAGGTGGGTGGTGCGGCGGTGGGACCGGGAGCGGTGGAGGAGGCAGCGGTGATAGTGGGGGAGGAGGCAGCGGTGGTGGTGGCGGAGGTGGGGGCTGGAGTGTGGCCGGCCCGAAGGGGAGCTCCAATGGTGACCAGGGGCAGCAGCAGCAGCAGCAGCAGCGTCAGCGCCAGACCCCCACGTCTCAGCAGCTTCATGACTGGTACGCTCAGCGGGGGGCGTCTGGGGGTCCTAGTCGCTGCCCCTAAGTCATTCACGCCGGTCCCCGCGCTGGTCACCCATACAACGGTCTTCACACTGAGCACTGCTGTTTCGCTAGGCTTAGCGACGCCTGGCGCGCCAAGTTTCCTGATGCTACTGAGTTCCCCAACTGGGCAGACCTGCTTAGGCGTGATGCTCTTATCTTTGATCTTGACTATGATGCAATCCTTGCTGCCATGTATGCATTGACTATTAGTGCTGAGGGTGACTGCTACTTGTGTGTCCCGCCTGACCCAGGTATAGAGACTGCAGCCCTAGGTGCTAGTGAGTCTGCTCTCTCTGGTACTGCGCCTGCTGAGGCTTTGCACACCTTCACGCTTGACTCAGGTGCTTCCCGCTGCTTCTTTCGCGACAGCACCACAGTCACTCCCCTCCCTGCACCTGTCCCTGTCTCACTGGCTGACCCCTCTGGGGGCCCAGTGCTTGCACGGTCCAGTACTGTGCTCCCGTGTCCGGCGGTCCCGTCCGGTGAGCTGTCAGGTCTCCACATCCCCTCGTTCTCTACGAACCTAGTGAGCAACGCCGTCCTTCAGGATCACTGGGTTGACACCTTCACTCCTGGAGGACAGCGTTGTGGCGATCTGTACGTGCTGTAGGACTGGCCGCCACCTGGCCATATTCACACGTGCGCCAGGGTCCAGTCTGTACACCCTCACCACTGTGTCGCGCTACACCCATGTGTCTCCTCAGTTGTACGCGTCTGCTCAAGTAGCTACCCAGTGTGAGTGTCGCCGCCTGTCACACGACACTCTCCTGTGGCACCACCGCCTTGGTCACCCCTCTCTACCCCGCCTTCGTGGCATGCACTCTCGCCTACTGGTCTCTGGCCTTCCCAGGTCTCTGCCTTCCCTCCCACCCTCGCCTGCCCTGCCCTGCATTCCTTGCGTCGAGGGGCGGCAGCGCGCCGCTCCTCACTCCTCCTCGTTCCCTCCCACAGAGGCTCCACTGCAGACTCTTCACCTGGACGTGTGGGGCCCAGCCCGCGTCCAGGGGCAGGGCCGCGAGCGGTACTTCCTGCTGGTCGTCGACGACTAGACACGTTACACCACAATCTTCCCCTTGCGCAACAAAGGTCAGGTCTCCAGCTCCACAAGCGGTTCCAGTCGGACTTTCCTGTCCTGCGTCTGCACTCTGACAGAGGTGGTGAGTTCACCTCCGACCTCTTGCGAGCTTTTTGTGAGGAGCACGGCATCCGCTAGTCGTTCACGCTTCCGGCCTCTCCGCAGCAAAATGGGGTTGCTGAGCACCGCATTGGCTTAGTCATGGAGGTCGCTCGTACCTCCATGATCCATGCGGTTGCCCCCCATTTTCTGTGGCCATTTGCGGTCCGGTACGCCGCGCATCAGCTCAACCTCTGGCCCCGTGTCTCCTTGCCGGAGACCTCGCCCACACTGCTGTGGACGGGGGAGGTTGGCGATGCGTCGCGCTTTCGGGTCTGGGGTGCTCGTGCCTTTGTTCGCGATACCACCGCGGACAAGCTCTCCGCTCGCGCCATTCCCTGCGTCTTCCTTGGTTTTCCTCCTGACGCGCCTGGCTGGCAGTTTTTGTTGGTGTAAGGGCCTAATAAACTCAAGCTATTAGGACTTAATCAAACTTAAAACCTCTCCTCGGGGTCACCTCCAAGGGTCCCTGGGTGCCTGGTACAAGACCAGCCCCTATCCTCGGGTCCGAGTTTGTAGAGAGAGGAATCAAGAAGGACTTAGTCAAAACAGCAAGAGTACCTTGAACGTCGCGCAGCGTGCCGTGCAGACCGTCGATCGGATTAAGCTGAGAATTCGCTATATCGAAGCTCGCTCCAAGAGCTTTAAAATGAGCCAAGTTGCCTCGCGAAAAGTTCTGCCATTACGAAGTTATGGCTCAGACGGTGTTTGCCTAGCATTAGAGTGCTAGCATACTAGCGTTGACTCGGGTAGCATTCCGCCAACGAACCGCGTAGAAACGAAATTCCAGCGAGGAAGGAATTCGCATGAATCAATTTGACTATATTCAGGTACAAACAGAGAAGTATTAAATAGTTCTAGCTAGCAAGGACCTTGGGAATCAACCTGGGAACAACCAGGGATGATCCCAAATAATTCCAAGCAACAGAACCAACCTGGCTGGACAAAATAGCAGGTGGTAGGTTGGTAAACAACCTCTGGTTCTGTTTTTCCAACCTGGGAAAACAACAACCAGGTTCAGGTTCTAAAAACAGAACCTGTTTTGTCTTTGCCCAACCAGCCAAATGCTGGTTCCGCTGGTTTCCCCTGGCCTTGTAGCATGCAGATACAGACAAACAACATCCAACCTTCACCTAAATTGTACCCCTATAGTGCCTTCCCTGCTACACTATAGTTAACCAAACAAAACAGTACAATTTCGAGTTGGATAGAACTGAATCTGCGCAATCAACTCAACCGAACTGCAAAGCTTCCATCTTGGGTTCCTTTGCGAGCTCGTCCTTTCTGCTTGCACTGTTCATAGCGCATACAATGTTGTGCCGAAGCGCACATTGCGCGAGTACCTGCAAATGCATCAAGCGAAAATGCGAAAGCAAACAAACACACGAACACACCATTCACACGCAAATGCATTCGCACACGCATACTCGTACAAACAGACGGCAGGATGTCGTGCAATGTAAATTTGCACCCAACACACTCCCCCTCAGCCTGCCGGCTGCATCCCCGTCATTCCATGCTAGTTCATGCTCATTCCACTCATGCGCACACAACGCCAATGAGGCTCATCCGCAAGCCTCTTGGTGAGAAAGTCTGCTGGCTGCTGGTGAGTCTTGATGTAGATCGGATGCACCGTCCCCCTCTTCACCTCCTTACGCAGCCAGTACCACTTGATACGCATGTGCTTGTTCAGCCCATGAAGCACAGCGTTTCTGGCCATCCCAAGAGCCCCCTTGCTATCACAAAACAGCGGCGTAGCAACTTTCTGCTCCTGGCCAATCTCCTCTAACAGCCTCCTCAGCCAAATCACCTCCTTCACCCCATGGAACATCGCCATGTACTCTGATTCTACGGAAGAGAGTGCCGTCTCCGTCTGCTTCTTGGACCTCCAACTAACAGGTCCTCCCCCAACTACGCAGATGTATCCTCCCACAGATGAGGAATCCTCCTTCTCAGAAGCCCACGTAGCATCGGTAAAGCAAGTGAGAAATAGCTTGCCTTCTCCAAGCCTCTCCCCCTTCTCTTTCAGCACCTCCACCCCTTTCTGCTTCACCTGTGCAGATGCGGAGTATTGAACTCCAATGCTTGGGTGAGAGTTCAGGTACTTCACCACACGCTCAGCTGCATCCACCTGCTCCTCTGATGGATTCTGCACCACCCTAGCCAGCTGCCCAACCGAGAAAGAGATGTCGGGCCTCGTGTGAACTGCTGCGTACAAGAGGCTGCCCACCAAGGACTGAAATTGCTGCTGCTTCTCGGCTTCAACCCCTTCATCCTCTGCAGCCTTCACAAGCTTGAATTCTGCTGGCAGGGGAGTTGCAACCTTGCGCTCATTCTCAATCCCATACTTCTCCCCCAGCTCCTTGATGAACTTCTCCTGGTGCAGCTTCAACCACCTGTGATCTGGATCCCTCTCCACGTGCATCCCGAGGTAGTACTTTACCTCCCCAAGGTTCTTGCACTTGAAGTTTTCCATCAGTTGCTGCTGCACTTTCTGGATCTCCTTCATGCTGCTGCTGAAGAGAAGAATGTCGTCCACATAGACCAGAAACAGCACCAGCTTCTCCCCCTCGCCCTTGAGAAAGAGGCTCTCATCACAGCTGCTGGTCCTGAATCCCATCTCCTCTAAAACAGCTGCCAACTTCTGGTACCAGCAGCGTGGCGCCTGCTTCAAGCCGTAGATGGACTTGTTGAGCTTGCACACCCTGCCCGTACCATCCTCATACCCAGGCGGCTGCGTCATGTACACATCCTCCTCTAAAATCCCATTCAGGAATGCCGTTGAAATATCCATCTGAATGATGAATTTCCCACTAACAGCTGCATCTGCCAACAAGACACGGAAGGTAGGGGGTTTGGCAGTGGGAGCAAAGATCTCGTTGAAGTCCTGCTTCTCCTTCTGCATAAACCCCTTCGCCACCAGCCTACTCTTGTAGATGGTGACCTGCCCCTTGTCATCGGTCTTGATCCTCAGCACCCACTTGCATTGTATCGCTTTCTTCCCATCAGGCAGCACCACCAGATCCCATGTCCTATTCTCCAGCAGACTCTGGTACTCAGCATCCCTAGAAGCCAGCCACTTGTCCCTATCTGGTCCAGCTAATGCCTCCTCCATGCTAGCTGGTTCCTCTGGTGCAGGGGCAAGAAAACAGTACGCAGGCTCATCCTCCTCATCCGGGTCATAGCCATGAGGTAGAATCAGCAATGCCTCTTCGGTCCCTAGCTGCTGCTCTGCTGCATCAGTTCCTGCAGTCAGCTTCTTAGTAGCCATACGGGTACGTCCTGGCCTGGAGACGGGTGTCTCCCATCCCTTCATAACGACACCCTTCGGCTTCTTAGTTTTTCCCTGCTGCTTCTCTCCTCCCTCGGATCCAGCAGCTTCACTAGTGCTGCCGCCAGTTTCCACACCATTTTCTCCACCAGCAGATGCCTCCTGTACCTTCTCTCCATCACCATTTCCAGCAGCTGCCTCCTCTCCCTCCTCCCACACACTAGGAGTCAGGTCCAGCTGCATGGTGATCTGCTCCATCTGCTGGGACACCCTTGCCTCCGGCTGTTTCTCCCAGCTCCCATACATCATGCCCTCAATGAATTTCACATCCCTGCTGTCAAACAACACACCCTTGGATGGTTCCCACAGCAGCCATCCCTTGCTCTCAGCAGCCAGCCCCAAATGCACACACCAGATTGCACTCGCCCCCAACTTACTGCGGTAGGTCTTGGGGACGTGGGCGACTGCCATGCAACCGAACACCCTCAGCATGTCCACCGGCGGCTTCCTCCCAAGCCACCTCTCCAAAGGCACCCACGAGTCATCCCCAACCTTGGTGAGCACCCTGTTCCTAGCGACAGTGGCGTGCCGGACAGCATGAGGCCACATAGAATTGCTCAGCCCAGATTCTATGAGCAGCGCCCTAGCTGTCTCCAGAATGGTCCGGTTTGCCCGTTCTGCTACACCATTGGACTGTGGGGTATAAGCCGTGGTCAGCTCTCTCTGGATGCCCTGCTTCTTGAGCCAGGCCGTCATTTCAGCTCCAAGGAACTCACCACCCCGGTCTGTCCTAATCCGCTTCACTACACACTCCGCCTGCTTCTCCACGAATGGCAGCCAATCGTCCCGTATCGTGGAGGCGGCGTGGTCCTTCTGCTTCAGCGGATACGCCCACATCAGCCTGCTCCAGTCATCCACAATTGTAAGAAAATACCGCTCCCCCTTGTGCCCTTGCACCGGCAGCGGCCCCACCAAGTCCATGTGGACCAGCTCCAAAGGCTTCTTGCTCCTGCCAGCCACACTATGGAAAGGGAAACAGGTGAACTTTGAAAGCAAACAGATTTCACAGTTGTCATCGGGTGGCTGTCCGTTCAGCTTCAGACCCTTAACGGCTCCATCCTTCTCCAGCTGCTTCAGCAAAGGCATTGCCACATGCCCTAAGCGC